TAAACAAATGGAGCTCCAACAATGCAGCAGTCCTTGAGTACTGAACTGGAGTCAGCATCCATTAGTTATTGTGTATTTGGATGCACTCTTGCCTCGGAGTCAAACTAACAAAGTCTCATGATTGTCAGTCAGACTACATACAAGTTGTACTCCAGAATTTGTGCACACAAATTTTGGCTGACTCCAGTTCAGTACTCAAGGACTGCTGCATTGTTGGAGATCCATTTGTTTAGATTAGACAAAGTGAGGTCACATTTGCTTTCTCAGGTGGATATAAAACATCTCATACACTCTTTATTCCAAAGAGGAGCAGGGGAGGTACACCAGTCCTGGGTAATATCTAGTCTTCAATCAACATCATAAAAAAATGCTATTACCACACTGCTGTTTATAGGATCTTGTTGTGCACAAACTAACTGGCGTGTTTCCTACATTACGACAATGTATCAAAGTGCTTCACTACCACGGAATAGTGTGGTTATAATAAGTGCTATACAAAATATAAATCTTCTAAAAAGTTTGCCAAATATAAATTCATGAAGACAGAACAAAAATTCAATTTTACAGCCAAAAGATTGTACCTTCAGTTACATTCCACAATACGCAGATAACATTTTTACAGCTGGTAAAGGGCTCACTGTATTTTCATTTTGCAAATAAATTCCTAGGCATTGCTTCTTTTTACCAGACTTAACTTACAAAAAATAAGACAAGAAGGTGAATATTAAATTCACATTAGTAGAGAAATCAATTACAAAGAACACTGCAAAACTTATACCATTTATAAACTAGTTACATTTGTTCTTTAGTAAAATTAGAAATCGGCATAAAAATTAGAAAATAAAATCATTAATGACATTTGGGCTTTGCTGCTGGATCAACATTTACTGACCATCATTAAATACCCTTGAGAAGGTGGTGATGAGCTGCCTTCTTGAGCTGCTGTACTCCATTTGGTACAGGTAGACTCACAATTCTGTTCGGGAGGGAGTTCCAGGATTTTGACTCAACAATACAAAAGGAACAGCAATATATTTCCAAGTCAGGATGATGAGTGGATTGCAAGGGAACTTGTAGGTGGTGGTGTTCCCATGAATCTGCTGCCTTGTCTTTTTAGATGGCAGTGGTCATGGGTTCGGAAGGTGCTTTCTAGGGAGCCTTGGTGAATTTCTGCAATGCATGTTGTAGATGGTGCACACTGCTGTTACTTTGCACAGTGAAGAGAATGAATGAATGGGCATGTCGTGCCAATCATCTGTGCTGCTTTGTCCTCAATGGCGTCAAGCTTCTCGAATACTGTTGGAACTGTACTCATCCGGGCAATTGGAGGGCATTCCATCACACTCCTCACCTGCGTCTTGTAGATGGTGGACAGGTTTCGGGGATTCAGCAGGCGAGCTACTCACTGTAGGACTCCTAGCCTCTAACTGACTCTTGTAGCCACTGAATTTATATGACATGTCCAGTTCAGGTTCTGGTTAATTGTAAACCCCAGGATGTTGTTGGGGGGAATTCAACAGCTGTTGGAGATGATCACTGTTTGGCACTTGTATGGCATGAATGTCACTTTCCAGCTCAAGCCATTTGGACATGGACTGCTTCAGTGCCTGAGGAGTTGCAAATAATGAACATTGCACAATCATCAGTGAACATTCCCACTTCTGAACTTATGATGAAGCAGCTGAAGATGGATGGGCCTAGATACTACACTGAGGGGCTCCTGCAGAGATGTCTTGGAGCTAAGGTGACTGAGCTTTTATATCCACTACCATCTTGCTTTGTGATAGGTATGACTCCACCCAGCCCATATGTCCAATGGGTCAAATTTTGCTGACTCCTTGATGCCACACTCAGTCAAATGCAGCCTTGATGTCAAAGACTGTCACTCTCACCTCACTCCTGAAGTTCAGCTCTTTGTTGAACCAAGGTTGTAATGAGGTCAAAAGCTGAATGCCCCTGGTGGAATCCAAATTGGATGTCACTGAGCATGCTGTTGCTAAGCAAGTGGTGCTTGATGACCCTTTCCATCACTTTACTGATGAGAGAAAGTAGATTGATAGGGTGTAAATTAACCATGTTCAATTTGTCTTGCTTTTTACGGACAGGATATAAGAGGGCAATTTTCCCATTATTGGATAGATGCCAATGTTGGAACTGGACTGGAACAGTTTGGTCACTGGTGCTACAATCTTTGGAGCAAGTCTTCAATACTATTGCTGGAATGCTGTTAGAGCCAACAGCATTTTCAGTAGTAAGTCTCTTTAGCTGTTCCTTGATTCATGTGGAGTGAAATGAAATTGGCAGATGAGTCATAGAGATCTATAGCACAGAAAAAGGCCTTTGGGCTCATCACATACACGCTGGTCGAAAACAACCATCTAACTATTCTGATCCCATTTTTCAGCACTTGGCCCACAGCCTTATATGCCTTGGCATCACAAGTGCACATTGCAATATTTCTTACATGTTAAGAGGGTTTCTGCCCTCTAGCGCTCTTACAGGCAGAGAGTTCCAGATTCCCTCCACCGTCTGGATTAAAAATGTTTTTCCACACATTGCTTCTAAACGTTCCACCCCTTACCCTAAAACTATGATCATGGTCATTGCTCCCTCCATTAATGGGAAAAGTTTTGCCTATCTATACTATCCATGCCCCTCAATTTTATACATCTCAACCCTCTCTGCTCTAAGGAAAACAACCATAGTCTGTCCAATCCCTCTTCATAATAAATTCTCCAGCTCCAGCAATATTCTGGTAAATCTCCTCTGCACTGTTCTATAATGTGGATTTCAGAACTGCACACAATACTCTAGCTATGGCCTAACCAACATTTTATACAGTTCCAAAGGTTTTATAACTTCTCTGTTCTTAAACTCTATGCCTCAACTAATAAAAGCAAGTATACTATATAACTCCTTAACCACTTTATCCACCTGTCCTGATACCTTAAAGGTCTGGTGCTTCCCAGGGTCCTACTGTTCATCATATATTCCCTTGCCTTGTTTGTCCAGCCCAAGTACATTGCCTCACACATATTTGGATCTTAGGGCGGACATTTTTATTCTATCGAAAAATATTGCTTGTTTTCCCACAAGATGCTCACCTCTTGCTGGCCTCAGAGACTGTGATTTCTAACTCTTTAGTACCTCATCCAAATAGCAACTGTTCATGTGTGACCCAATATAACAAGCATTTCTAAACATGGACAAGACAACAGCCAACTCCAATATTACCCTCATACACTTTGCAAACATGGTCCTTTTGAATCAATTCAATGTCTTTTGCATATTTACTTTCTGTCTCTCTTCTTCCTGCTTGGTATCTACCTATTTTGTTCATTTTATAAAATGCCTCAGGACATTATCATATAGGAGGACACAGGTTTGCAACTGTGATGTGAATGTACAGAGGTATGCATAAGATAACAAGCTTCATAAAAAAAGAAAATTTGGAAACAGGTTTAAAAATATTAAAGAGCAATGTTAAGACCACAACAAAGGTGATCAACAGTGTTAAATGTATGGAATGAACTACAAAAGAGAATACAGGCAGCAAGTAGAAACAGGAATAATTTGAGAGTAAATTGGCTACTTATAATGAAGATAACTTTAAATTAATTCTGGATAGTCATACCAAGATGGATCAAATGGTTTCCCACATGCATAATTACCTTGTGATCTTTTTACCTAAAATTTAAGCAACATATTTTTCTTTAAGTGTCTCTGGGAATACATACTTGTTTTTTGTTAGTGCAAATGCCTCTGGCTGGTTATCAGAAAATTGAACAAACATCTGCAACTGAACTTTCTGGTGGATTAATATTAAACCATTGGGGTTTATTGATCTGTTTATGTGATCAGAGGAGATGAACATTTCTTTTTCATGTTTTTGATAAGACACTGGATGAAAGACAGTGGTGGGACATGCATGTGTCACTGAAAAAGATACACAAAAGATCATTGTCAAAATTCTGGAAAATTAAATGAAAAGAAGTGAAGATGACCAGAAATAAATTTGAAACCTGGGAATTTACATTTAACTTGCAAAAACAAATAAAGTTTGCATGATGAAAACATGAAAGTATTTCTTTAACTAACCACCAGTTTGAAAATCTGGTTTCGCAGATAGGTAGAGAGCTGGTTCATTAAGTCTCTATTCTGTCCCTCAACCCAGTGCATTTCCACATGGGAATTCTTTCCATCCTTCTTCACATTCATTAAACACTTGAACAAAAAACATCCCTCACTCTCTCTTGGAGTATCTTCCACCTTTGTGTTTGCCATGGTTGAACAGGGCGTTTCATGCTCAATTGTATCATCAGTTTTACAGTCAACAAAACTAATTTCACACTGGTTAAATTTTTTTTCAGTTTCCGCATTATTTTCTTGATCAACATGTAGTTTATTCAACGAACTATTACCCCCATTTATGGGGAGCTCCTCTTCAGCTTCGACTGTTGGTTTTCCTATTTCAACATTACTTTCTGCACAATTGCTAACATTGATCTTTTCCTCAACGCTGACAGAACCAATGTTAGTGCTGCCGCATTGCCCTCCTGTTGTCTGGTCTGCTCCTGTGGATTTCAGCACATTTGACTCAGCTCTGGGGAGCTCTCGAAGTTGCCTCACTCGATCCCGCTTCTTTCGCCGAACGTGGATCCATGAATTCTGTATGGCTGTTAGAAATAAACTTACTTCACCTTTCCCACAAGGCACACGTTTATAAAGTACCTGGGGAGACAAAAGAACATTTCCATAAACTAAAAGTTGAATCTGACATTCTGGTTCCCAGATATTTAGTTCCTTTTGTATAATTATGCTTGTTTCTGGCAGTGAGAAAAGTTTTCTAAACTTATAGGAGATCCAGTCTCAAGGTATGGCTTTCACAAATGAAATACGTACCATATAGCGGCCAATTTTTTGCAGCTAAATAATTCAATAAACTCTGCCAAAACTGTTTTGTATTTAAAAAGTTTTGAGTTACCAAATAATTTGAATCAAGTATGTAAGTAACAAAGAAAAAAGTGGGATCAAAAATAAAGTGCAGGAGAAATTCAGCAGGTCATGACAAAGGGTCACTGGACTCAAAACATTTACTTGGTTTTTCCCATGACAGAAGCTGCTAGACCTGCTTTAGTTTCTACAGCATGTTCTGTTTTTTATTTCAGATTTTCAGCATCCACAGTTCTTTGTGAAAGAGAAGTGGGAAATTAGAACTAAATACATATAAATCAGCAGGTAATTTAAATTACAGGATTTCAATTAAGAGTTGACTGTGCACTATTTCCCACAATGCTATTGACTGCATCTCAATTTGGAATGCTGTGGGGTGTATAGGTGCTCATCTGGTCTGTTTCTTTAAGATCACTATCAAAGTACTTTGAGGAATGGCTTAGAAGGGCCCTGAGCTTATTGCTGTTAAAGAGGTAAATCTGAAGATGGCCAGGTGCTTGGAAATTTCCAGCTCCAGGTAAGTCTGAAAACTTCCCTCAGTCCTAACAATTAACCTGTAATTAACCTTAGCATAAATAGATTGTCTGGGACAACTGGTATATGATAAATGATAGATAGGTTGGGTCTGTTGTCCTGGATCCGAATCAGTGAATGAAAGTATTATGCTCGTACAGCCATTTGGGGTCTCTACAGAGATTTACTGTATCTGAACAAAGGATACAACAGGGTCTTTGCAAGGTCCTTGTACCAACTATATTGTAACAAAGGCCATCATATTTTTAGCATTCACATTCAACAAAACTAAATTATATCCCTAAAACACTGTAAGAAGCACAACATTAGAACTCAGGCGAGAATTATGCAGAATTAAGTCAATATTTGCAGGACTTGTATCACTGAGAATATAATAAAAATGAAAGGATTAGAATAAGATTCTGAAGTTAATAGACTTTGGCTAGATTGACTACTTCACAAAATAGGTAGACAAGTTTCTGATTAAGCAAGAGAAAGCAAACCCCTTCAAATAGGTAATTCGTACACACTGATAAACATTCATGTTCTATCCAATTAAAGTTGATAAGCACAATATCAGAAATCTTTGAACTCCTAGTAAATAGCAGGGTTTGAAAATCCTTCCGATGTATTGTAGTTCCAGATTCCAACAGTACCCAGATGAATGGCTTGTGACAAGTCATGTTTTATTAAATATTGCCTCTTGCTGATGCTGTGTGCGGGGTAGTTCCTCACAATGAGGATGACACTCAGGACAAGAAGCTGAATGCCAAACGGAAACAGAAATGGTCAGATTTTTCTAGATGTTTCTCCAGGATTTTTCCAGATTTTTCTCCAGGAATTTCTGTTTTTGTTCCAGTTTTCTTTGAATTGCATCTGCTGTTCTTTGCTTTTTTTTGTTTAACCTGAATGTAAAATCTTTTAACACGTTGTGCTATAGCTATCCCCGAGTTCTGACTGACTGGGAGACTCTCCCACTTTTACAGTCTGATACAGGCTTATCAGAAGGAATTGCACAATCATAATCAATCTGTTGCATTATGACTTCTTCCATGGCCAGCAAGTCCTGAGGCAGGTCTTGAACCCATGGTTTCTGGTATAGAGATAGGGATGCTACCATTGTGCCATAAAACTTCTACTGATGATGTAGTTAGTTAACTAACTCAAGCATACTTATGATTTTGAATGGGAATTCCACCAACAGTTAATTGGATAAATGTATCGTGTGGTGAAGTATACAACCAAATCTAGGTAGCTTAATAGTATAGTGTAAAGTAACGGTATACTGCTACATGCATGGTGGCAAATTGGGTGTCAGAAGGCATACGGTCCTTCCCTCTTATTGATCATCTAACCATTCGCGCCACACAAATGTTAGGCAATGACCATCACCAATAAGAGACAACCTAACCATCATCCCTAGGCATTCAATGGTGTTACCATCACTGAATCCCCACTATCAACATCCTGGGGTTTATCATTGCCCAGAAACTCAACTGGGCTCCTCACATAAACACAGCAGCTACAAGAGCAGGTCAGAAGCTAGGAATACTGTGGCAAGCAACTCACCTCCTGACTCCTCAAAGCCTGTCCACCATTTACAAGGCACAAGTCAGGAATGTGATGGAATACTCCCCACTTTCCTGGGTAAGTGCAGCCCCAACGACACTCAAGAAGCTTGATGCCATCCAGGACAAAGTAGCCCACTTGATTGGCACTACATCGACAAGCATCCACTCCCTCCATCACCAACACTCAATAACAGCAGTGTGTACTATCAACAAGATGCACCGCAGAAATTCACCAAACCCACGACCACTTCCATCTAGAAGTACAAGGGCAGCAGATATATGGGAACACCACCACTTCCAAGTCTCACTCCAAGCCACTCACCATGCTGGCTTGGAAATGTATTGCCGTTCCTTCGCTATCGCTGGGTCAAAATCCTAGAATTCCCTCCCTAGTGGCATTGTGGATCAACCTATAGCTGGTGGAGTTCAGCAGTTCAAGAAGGCAGCTCACCACCACCTTCTCAAAGGCAACTAGGGATGGACAAGAAATGCTGGCCAGCCAGCGATGTCCACATCCCACAAATGAATAGAAAAAAAATCTAAAACTTCCATACACGGAAGAGATTGAATGGCAAGTTTTTGATCGGAGAAAATTAATTTTTTGACATTTATAATTCCAGTTTTTCATGTAGTAACAGCTGGGAGCATGTTTATGGAAAGTTGTACTTCTATAAACTCACTGCCTACCAGGATGATGGAAACTAACAATGGTTTCAGAAGCAAATTGTATAAACACTTAGAAAAATACATATGAGAAACGTTACATTCAATAATTCTACAAAGAACTGATATGGGCTCAATGGGCCAAATGGCCTCTTTTTGTATTTAAGTGACTACAGATTTGGAAGATCTCAAGAGGGAAGGGTATACCAAATGTTCCAATCTTAATCAGGGCAACTGTGGGGTCATCACAAACCTCAACTGATAGTTTCTTGGAAAATAGTGAGGGAAAGGAGCTATCAAGGGTTAATGATCTTGTGATATCTTGCTTGCCATTACCGGTGGAAGAATATTTTGCAATGTATTGTACTGTCATTGTAGGTTTTCATTATTGTCATCTGAAAATAAATACATCAGTACACTCTAATTTCCGGTGCTAAAACAATTAGGTATCTCTGTGTTTTTGAAAACAATACCTCATTTGTAGAATGTATGCATTGCTTACTAGGTCAGCATTTATTAACCATCTTTAATTGCCCTGAGTAAGTTGCTAGGTCATTTCAGAAGGCAGTTAAGAGCTAACCACACTGTTTTGAGTCTGCAGTCATATGTAGGCCAGACCAGGTAATGATGGCAGATTTCCCTCCCTAAAGGAAATAAGTGACTCAGATGGATTTTTCCAATGATCTACAGTAGTTACTTGGTCACCATTAGGCTAGCTTTTTATCCAGATTTTACTGAATTAAAATTTCACCATCTACCATGGCGAGATTAGAATCCATATCCCCAGAACATTAGCCTGGAGCCCTGGACTACTAGTCAAATGTCATTACCTGTAGACCACCATTATGCTCCACCCCCTTTAATTCCTTTGCTATTTCAAAGTAACCTTCCTTTCTTGTGTTATAAAGTCTTCCCTGAAAGTCAAGTCTCTTCATAATGTTCTTTGGTGGTGACTTGTTCTTAGTCTCAGTCTTGCATCATCACTAATCAATTTGTGCGCAACAGTAGCTTTTTCTTTGTATTTAGTTCATCCCTTATTAGGGAAACCTGTGTTTCTGCACAGCACCTCTTGGTGACTCCAAAGCACACATCTTAAGCTCTTTTGGCAACAAAAGAGTTTTTTTTATTTAAAAGTCAAGAGTGAATCTAATATTTACCTTCAGATCAGTGAGAATTTTCTCTATTCCCGCAGTTACCACTTCGATGTCTTCTTTAGGCACAGAGTCTGAACTTGCGACTTTATTCTTTAGTGCCTTGGTTGTAGATTCTAACACTGTGAAAGTGATGGGTTTCCGGGGCTTCTCCAGCTTTCTTTTCTTGGAAGGAGGAGACTGAGGCAATAAGGAGACGGTTTGGTTATGAAGACATTGCAGCTCCTTGTGAATCTTGAAGTTACCACTTAATATTGAAACAACAAAAAAAAACCCTGCGGATCCAGCAACCAAATAGAAAGGAATAAATTCTGGTGCCTCCTAATATTCCCAATTCAGGACATTTATAAATATACAAGTCAGAATTTGTTGTAGCAGACATTTAACAGCATTTGCCATTAATCAGACTTGCTTTGTTCTCAACATTTCTAAAACCTTCAACAAATTGATATTTGAACAAATGAGATGCTATACTTGTAAAAATTAAGATGTAGTAATAACACTTGTCATGCCTATAAAACAGGGCATTACACTTGAAATCACAGGGGTCAATTTTCTGGGCAAGCTACTTTACAAATACAGCAACCTAATGTTCTTTATTGCATTTCAATGGTGAGATGCAATGTTGCAAAACTGATGGGCATGTGCAACTCGGCCAACAATTGTCGGCTATTCATGTCTAAAAGGCACATTTGCTGCTTGTCTGATGCTAATGTTCCATTTACATCTAAATAATGAGAAGCCAAATCTCTCCATTGTTTCAACAGCAAAATTTGGTCTGTGTAAAAATTTAGCTCAGTTATCAAATTCTTCAAGTGAACAAAAGTGAAATGACTTGGAAAGAAACCTTTATATTAAAAATTAAATAGTGTCTGTACTATATAATCCTTTTACAACTTTTGGGATATCCTAAGTGCTTTACAATCAATCAAGTTCCTTTTGAAGCACTGTCACTATTGTAATGTGAGAAATGTGGCATCAATTTGCAGACAACCAGCTCCCACAAGCAGCAAAAGACATTTTGATAAAACATGTATCATATATACAATTTAAAATTCAAATGACGGCAATAGAAGCAGGTGCATTTTGGTCAGTTCTATGATGGTAGTTCTTTTAAAAAAAAGTTCAGAAAATAATCTGGATCAGTGAGCTAAATGCGTCATTTCCAAGATGCATCTGACTTCAGTCAAGTGCCTGACTGGATATGTGTGGTATTAACGGATGGAATATTTTTACAGCTGAGTTTACAAACACATCACAGGCCATAAGTTTAGCTTCAGATTTCAATTTAGTTCAGAAGAAACAGAAGTTCACTTCAGAGAGGAGAGGTTTTCTCCAATAGGAGAATCAAGTTCTCACTCAGAAAACCAGTCACAAGCTGAAGTACATTAGTTCAGGGAACATCGTAGCCAGGAGAGTTTGTACAGAGTCTTCAAATTGCTGGAATGCAAAAGTAAGACCATCAGAATTGTGAAAGGTTCGTGCCAGCCAACCTCAAAATAATTGTCAGCAGTCCAAGGAAAAGAAACTGAGTAGAGTCAGTTAAGTAAAAATTTGAAGTGTTGAGATAGAAGTAACATTTCTCTGGAAGTGAGTAACTATAAAAGTACAGTATTGCAAAATAGTTTGAAACTTTGCTTTGTTGTTTGTGTTAAGATCTTTCAAACTGTGTAATATAGCTTTAAAAAAAATCCTGACATAATAAACTTGCGTCTTCTTTTAAAGAACAGCTGTAACACGGTGCAGGTATGTTTCACTGACTAATCACCACTTTAACCAATTATAAAAATGAAACAAACAATCCGGCCAAGTTTCATTCTGGATCTGGCCCTGTCCAGTAATATCATCAGCTTGGATCATAACAACTTTGACCAGATAATATGTTGATTGAGGGATAAATATTGGCCAGGGCACAGCAGATACACTTTCAAAAACAAGTTTACAATAAGGTTGCTCTCCACATTGAACAAATAAAATTATAAAAACAATACTGAGCCAACTGTTAAAGTAATCTAAACACAATAGCACATCTGAAAACATGGTTTAAAATGTCAGCAATCTCTTCTATTCATTTTTTTTACGTAGCGCAATCAGGAATAGCAATCATGGTTGAATTTTCCAAGCCAATTCATTGCATACAATACTTTATGCAAGTTCCTGTCCTCCCATACCAAACGGCAGTCTGTTCCACTGGGACTATGGATCCATCAATAGCTCTATCAAATGGCCATTAATTATCCATAAACCTGGGAGTGGCATGTTATCTGACCATTAATAAAGCAATGAAGGGGACGCAGCTTAGTTGACATTCCTTTCCCCAACACTGGGAGTGCTAAGACTAACAGCACTCCTCCCTTAGAGATAGTAGGAACTGCCGATGCAGGAGTCTGAGATAACAAGGTGTGGAGCTGGATGAACACAGCAGGCCATTTCTGAAGAAGGGTCCAGACCCGAAACGTCAGCTTTCCTGCTCCTCTGATGCTGCCTGGCCTGATGTGTTCATCCAGTTCCACACCTTGTTATCTCAGCACTCCTCCCTTACTGCTTGTATTCAGGAAGTCAGAGCAGTTTGGGAATCAAGCCTGCTAGAGACTGCATAGCTCAATGGCTTCCTGGGAAAGGAGATGGAAATCCTACTGCTGACCTCTGACAGTCCATTTACCAAAATGAAGTCAATTGTCAAAAGGAAAATGCCACACTATTTGCTTAGTTTTCAATAACTATTGTTCAAAGTGATCAAGAATTGGAACACACAAAATCAGCTGTATATAACTGGTAAAAATGCAAAGGAATACTTCAATAATGACTAGGACAAGAGAACTAATGTTCATCAAACGATTGGCTTGATCACTGTTTCCTATACATACATCACAACAATACAGTGGCTGATGACAGGTAAATTGCTGATCATGCTTGGTGCAAATCCATTAAAACGTTTGTAAAAGAGTGTTCATAGATGCACAAAGGGCATTTGGCTTCTTCAAACTAAAAATTTTTGAAGACGCCAAATATTCAATTAATGACAAAAGTTTGCTTAAGTAGTATTCAACATTTAGTTGGTTCTAACCTGAAAGCCACACCAATTACGTAACATAAATTCATGTTGAACTGAGGCTCAAGTTAATGAACATGAACCGTGAAAACACTTTGCCTAAATTAGATTCTCTCCTTGAAGTTCTGGTATCCTCCCCTTCAGTGTTAATTTTTTTGTGTGCTTTTAGACAGAGATTGGCAACAAGATTATTCAATGGGAAGACCTGATCAGTCCTCATTCAAGATGCAAATGTGTACATTTAGACATACTATTATACAACATCTATCCGTCAGGGATAGTAACCCTGGGCGATTTTTCCTTCTAGGTTGGATGTTAAAACTAATTGCCAAAGTCCAATTATGGACTCAAAACTGCTAATTCAGCAGCATCTGGCAATTTATTTCTAATCTTCCTAGTTACAATTTTGTGTGGAGTGTAGTAATGTAGATTTGCATCATCACACAAGGCCAGAATGGTAGGCAATAAGTTCATTTCACATCATGAGTTCTTCAACTTGGCCATTCCATCAGTGGGAAGTAAAAAAATAAGGGGGACGAATAGAAAAGATTTGCACAGAAGTCACAGTGATATTGCCTTCACTCGCAAAGATTTGACAGCTTTCTCAACTGGGGAAGGGAGAATAAATAACTCTGTTGAACCTGGTTAGCATATGTAGTAACAACTAACTATGAGCAATTCATTGTATGAACCTGTTTTGATTTGTTTTTGGGAGACATAATTGCATGCATAAATAAAGGAACTTGCGCTCTTTGGGGCTGGGGATGGTACACAGAAAGTTATAGCACGGTTGTACGGTACCACAATAGGGTGCACTTTGGTCAAAGTGTACAAGTAGTGGCAAGTTGAACTCAAGAATTTCTAAACAAATACTGAGAACATTTTGAACAAATCTATCATTCAAGCAATGAACACCTAGGCACTGTATATGATTTGCCTCTAGTTGATTAAATAGTTATTTTTTTCTAATTCCCAGCGTGGAAACAGGCCATTCGGCCCGACAAGTCCACACCGCCCTGAAGAGCATCCCAGCCAGACCCATTCCCCTACCCCTGCGTTTCCCATGTCTAACCCAAACATCCCTGAACACTACAGGCAATTTAGCATAGCCAATCCACCTATGCTGCACATCTTTGGACTGTGGGAGGAAACTGGAGCACCCGGAGGAAACCCACGCAGATATGGGGAGAATGTGCAAACTCCACACAGACAGTCACCCGAGGCTGGAATCGAACCCGGGTCCCTGGTGCTATGAGCCTGCAGTGCCAACCACTGAGCCACTGTGCCGTGTTATTGTGCACTAAATGTAAAAGTAGTGATAAACAGTTACATTAGATATTCTTTCTTAAACAGTAATAATGCTTTCTTTCTGAACACTCTTTGCTAACAATTATGATTATCAATTATGATTTGGCATCATGGAAATTGCTGATTTCATGAGACATCACATTGCATCTTTTTCTGGCATGGGACTCAATTTAAAGCAGATGACTCAAAGCAGCACAAGCCTGGGACTTACTCAACATGCATTGATTTTGGACAGTGGTAACCATGTCTAAACATTCAGATGCCAGATTCAAAATTTTTTTGATTATATTGATTGGTGGAGTAGGCTAAAGAGGCAGTATGATTTAATTCTGCTTCCATTTGTTGTGTTCATTGAGTTCAGCACTATCAATATCTCTTGAGCCTGAATATCATCTTACCCACTGTACATTCCCCAATAGCTTGGGATAATCTTAGGAATGCATATTGAAATATTTCTGCAAGGTTGGTGCACTTTCTTTGATTTTTTTTGCTAAGTTAATGGATTGAAAGGAGATTTTGTTTTTACCACTTCATTTTTATTGCCATTCTTGTTGTTTTCCCCGTTTCATTTGTGTTTCTGTAAGGGTATTTATTAGGCCCTTTCAGGTAGGTCAACAGTGAAATTAGTTTACATTCTTCAGCAATCCGTGTATGAGTTATTATTAACCAGGTTTTGCATTTAATGTGAGCATTTCTATCTAAAATCCCTCAGGGTTATGTCCCACTATAACTTACTTTGTTTGCAACCAGACTAACGGCAAAATCAGAATAAAAATCAAACATGTTGTCATAAAAGGAGTAGACATAACTTTTCTTTTGAGTGTTGTATCCCACTGTCCGAAACTTGCCACAACCATTGGCATCTGAGTGAATTTTCATTTCTGCTT